AGTCCATCGAATTGGGCAAAATAGTAATGAAAGAAGTCGCCCTCTGAAAGAAAAATTCTGTTCTCAAATCAAAAAAAAAAATGTTTATGGGAAAGCGCTAAACAAAAGAGAATCGACAAAGATAAAGTACCACTGGTGTACAAGCTAAAGATGAACGATGAGGGGTATGTTTAGAATGAAGCCTAATTCAAATTTTTCGTAGTTTAACACGAATCACTTCGTCTTCCGAATTCATTTTTGACCTTGTGCCCTTATCGGAAACTTTTGCTTAACGTAACTACTGGTGCCATGTGGTGGATGAAATCTCTGATCATCAAATGGTTCTAGTTGAGTTCTGAACTTCCGGACTTCGACCTCCATTCCGTGCAAAGAGAAGTTCGGCGCATCTGTTTAACTTTTTAGAGAAGAAGACAAGCCAGTAATTGATGGACTTGAGTTTTCGTATGATGATTTTTCAAATATGTGCTCTTATATGGGTGCTATTAAACTCCTTTAATATTTTTTTAGAAAAAGCGTGCTCGAATGTTTACGCAGATTGGTCCTTATGAGTGCCAAAGTTACCCGAAAACATAAGGCATAGACAAGTCGCGGCATTGTTCATCTAAAATGCAAAATCAAACGTGTTTGGAAGCGAATGCTATTTAAATATCAATAAAATGCAAACAAACTTAAACTTTCTATTTGTTTTGCGAAGATTAAATTGAACAGAATAACGGTTACGAGTTGAGCTTGTTGGTACATACTTGTAAATATATCAGCTTGAACTTTAGAAATAATTTGAACACAAAGACAGAAAGGACAGGATATGACACACAGCTGACTACCAACGATATTTTGGAGTAAACTTCTTCCTTGCGCTTTTGCTCCTTCCTTATGAGTCCCAAGTGGAGCGCAATAAACCTATTATATAAATGGCCCTATTCCACTATTAAAGATCCCTTCCGATATTTACACTTATGCAAAAAATATACAAATCATTTACACAGTATTCCTAGCAAACTATTGTTTTTGAACTAACCCGCCACATGCTCGTGCTGTTGTTATTTGGGGCGTGACATTCCGTAGGTATTGTCTTTCTTTTTTGGGTATGGTGATTGATGGCGTGCTGACACAATCCTTGGCGTGCTCCTCGATGGCGAGCGCCTCGAGCATTTCGCGTGCATAAGGATTGTTGTTTTTTGCGAGAATGGTGGTACTGTTCAAAGCTACACTGCACTGGCATGTCCTCCAATGAGCTGCCAGATGTCCTGCCGCTGTTCCCTTTAGAGACGCTGTATGCTCACGGGCTCTGTCGTTGATAAACTTATAAAATTAAATTTATATTGTTCAATTTATAAACTTTATAAATTGAACAATATCGCTCTGCACACTTTATCTTAAGACTCACCCGATAACTTTTGAAGGTGCCAGTAGCCGGCCTAAAAAAAAAATCTATCCAAGCTTTTTGGCTTCTGACCGTTTAGTTGAAAATTATTGTGGCATCTTTTGTGCGATTTAATGATTATTTTGCATCAGTGTTTACTGTCGATAAAGGCATCATACCTTTCTTAAGTAAGCTACGTTACCTATCAGTGTAAGCTGAGGTTTTGTCTCCACTGAAGCATTATTTTCCACCTTGCCTTATTTTTCAAAAAAGCAAGCCACTGATTATGACGGCATTCCAAATATGTTCCTAGTTCGCTACGCAGAATAGTGCTTGAAGTGTCTGTATCCAATCTATAAGAAATCCTTGACGGAAACCATTATTCCTATTCCGTATAAGTTCGCAAAGGTAATTCATATTCACAAATCTGATTTCAACTACTGCCTGTAAACTGTCGGCCAATTTCGCTTTTCCCTTACTGCTTGAAACTTTCAGATCACATCATTTTAGGCACCGGGCAAAAAATTTAAAAAATAAAAAAATGGTATAGTGTGAATCAACATGGTTTTTGCCATGGCCTTTCCACCACGACACGATTTCTTGATACTGTTCTTGATTTTTCTGAAATCATATATCATTCCAACAGGCTGATGTAATTCTCATTGATCATGTTAACGTGCTGGACAGAGTATCACACAGTAAACTTTTTAAACTTACATCAATCGTGCAAGATTCTAGCATCTACTCCTGGCCTGAAACTACCTGCTGCATAGAAAACTATTCGTACAGATAAACTCTCACTAGAATGGAAAGTTGGGCTAGTTGGTAATAATTCATATTGAAAAACAGCGCGAATAACACACGGTCAAAGAGAAGAGAGCACACAGGACGAGGCGCTGACTATCAGCTATCTATTCTGAAAACATAGAAAGAAAATCACGCGAGGACTGCTTCTTTTTTTTTTCCTCTGCTACCAGTCATTCGTCATTTAGTGCGCAATGTTATAAATCGCATTAAAACACACCAGCACAAGGTATAAGTCATCTCTTCTTCTTCCTCCTTACTTCTTTCTGCGATCTTCAATCTCGATCTTCAATTCTCTCGTCAACCCATGTCCAAAAAAAAAACTATCTCGCTGTCCACTAGGTTAACGGATGGTTGACTCACGCACCCGGGTTTTCGTTTTGGTATATGGTAAGCTTCTACTAATTCCCTCGAAAGCTGATCTTTGTGTCTAAACAGCATGTTTGTGTCACTGAATCTTGGCTCACATCCACAATCACGGCAGTGGACAGCTAAATGGGAGTACACGCTACCTTTTAATGAACTATGGTGTTCACGAAGACGAATGTTTAGGCAACGCCCTGTCTGACTTATATAAGAGTGACCGCAGGAGAATCGTATTTCATACACGGTCCCCTATGCACAGGATACGAACTTCATGCCATGCTTGATGCGACGTCCAAAAAGTTCTGGCTTACTTTTCTTGCCAGCACGCTTGTAAACCCCGTTTATAATCCTGCTCAGTTTGTTTATCGCTGAAAAAATTACGTTGACCCCATACCTCGAAGCGACTTCCTTTAATCCGTGTGAAAGACGATGAATATAGGGTATAACGGCGACGTTCTTTTTGTCTATCTTGCTTTTTCTTTGTCAGGATTTTCGGAATCTACCTTGATGTACCGAGTCACCTTGTCGCGAGCTGATGTAATAACTGAGTCAGGAAAATAAGGGTTTCTGAGCCTAGCAACTTGTGCTGAGAAGCTTTCTTTCATATTATGGAAACAGTATTTTGTCAACGCTGACTGCAAGCAAGAATATTCAAGACCATTTTTTTACGAGCCTTTAGTGTGCCGAACGATAGTCTAGTAAGTTCTTCGTGGATCTGGGGTGGTGCCTCCAGCATTCATGACCTTCTTTTACGTCAACTAGGATATCTAAAAACTGAATATTGTACCCCTTAGGAGACTCCGAGGTGAAGCGAAGTCCTAGCCCTTGCTCCGCGAACGTCCTTAACACTTCACTCATTGTTCTATTGAAATTCTTTTTCTATCTTTACGTTCTCTATCTATAGGTTCAAGAGTGGGCCCTATGCTGAGCAGTATTTTTCTAGGTATAGTCGACGGATGGATAAAATCCAGTGATTAAGCATACTCAAAGAATGCAACTTTTTAGAAACGTGGGTTTTTATTGTAAGCTAAACGAATTCTGCCTCTTATAGATATTTATTTGGGCAAACGAAAAAAGTTAGATAAGAATTCGGCATACTAAAATCCGAGTCGGTGAAAAAAGAACAAAACCGAACGTCTCAAAAAAGGACAAAACACACAGGACAAAACTTTCAAATGACGGATTGAGATTTAGTGTTGTTGTTTTTTGTTGTTTCTTTTTCTTTACCTCGGTTTCCGGTTTCAGTAGGTCGATTAAAAACCAGCTCGAACACCTAGTAACGTGGTCCACAATTAGGTTATATGCCGATGATTGCGTGATCTATCGAAAAATAGAAAGGCTAGATGACTGTGCACTTTTGCAGGGCGACTTGACATGTCTCGAAACATGGTGTGAAGAGTGGCAAGTGAAAATTAATGTTTCCAGAACAACATTTCTCAACTTTAATACCAAACGTACATCAACCCAATTCAACTACACTATATTCAACTCGTCTACTGAAAATGCTCGAACATACAAATATCTTGGGGTTCACTTCACTTGCCATCTTTCATGGGAGCCTCACATAAATTACATTACTGCAAAGGCTAACCAAACCCTCTGTTTCCTGAAGCGACACCTCTACTTTGCAACACGGGACACTAAACTGATCGCATATTCATCTCTCATTCGACCCAAGCTTGAATATGCATCTGTCATCTGGAATCCGCATCAGTCATAATTAATCGATAAGTTAGAAGCCATACGAAACCGAGCTACTCGCTTCATACTTGTAACTACACCCGCACAAGCATTACAGCATTAAAACAGAATCTTAAGGTTCCACTTCTTACAGACCGTCGGAAAATGTCACGGTTGATTGCCCTGCACCAGCTGTACTACCATTCGCCATCCAAAAAAGATAAGTATATTAGAGCCGCCATCCACATCTCCTCACGCACAGACAACACGCGGAAACTTCACTTCACCACCCCTATGACTAACACCTATAAGTTTTCCCCTTTACAGCTGTCTATTACTGAATGGAATTCACTCCCCGATAACATTGTAACAATAGAAGAGCCCAGCACCTTTCAAGCCGCAATTGCCGGTCTTTACACGTAATTAACTAAACTGTTTTTGTGTGTGTGTGTCTTCGTTCTGAGTTTTAATATATATTGCTGTTTGTCCCCCCTTATGTAGAGCCCCCTGAAGGCGATATTAGGGTACAATAAATGAATGAATGAATAAAGATTCCTTTTTGTTAAAGGACAGAGGGGAGCACTGTAGAGTAACCGCCAAATAAGTGTTGCCGTTTAAGTGTGGTTTTCTCGGCTAATGGCCGCATAAATGTTGGCCACGAAAAGCTAATTTTAGTGAAATCATGTAGCCTGAATAATATTTGGACATCCAAATAACCATCAATAAATGCGCGCAAAAAAAAAAGAAGAAAAAGTTCTAAGAAAATCGGCCCCTGTGGAGTACTTACTCTGCAACTGTAGCTCGAAAACATCCCGAACATGCGAGCAGAAGCAGAACGATGGAGGGTCGTCGTAGTCTCTCCATGTTTGGAAGAGCTGCTCCGTGTTTCTGGTGCCGAATTCAAAAGGACTCGAACTTCCTACTACTTAAGACTCACAGACCAGGAACTTAGTGGCGCCTCCAACCTCGTAATCGTCCCGAGATCTCTTGCATGGCCTGTTGCAAGCAGACACGATGGAGCCATGGCAGTTTTAGCTTACGCTCTCGGCCATCCTTATCTGAGAAACTTAAAACCCTGGCGGGTTGAGCGAGGAGAAGGCGACTCAGTCCTCTAAATATACCAAGAAAATACGATGATGATGGCGGGTTCGGACATTGAAGCCGAAACTATGCACTCCATCCGTCGAGCACTTCGCAGACGGGAGTACCTGATGTTTTCATAGCCGAGCAAGGTCGATGGTAGAGCGGTGTTCCATGGGAACTTTGTAAACTACCAAAGTTTACTTGCTAGATTTGCGTAATAAACCTCAAATGTACTCGTGCTAAGTTAAAACAAAATTTAATTTGCACCGTGGTAGTCCCAGACAGAACACTAGTCGTTGTCGTCATCTTGGAATCGCAGGGTAGATCCACGTGCACATTTCATTTCCGTACACCACACTCCTTCCCAACGCTCACGAATAGCGAGATTTCGCAGGTTCGTCCTGATGAGCTCGGACATCCATATTTCTGTCACTGCCACCAAGTGATAAATCGCAAGAAACATTGCGATCCCGCACCGCAGTTTTGTTCCCCTTCGACATATCAGTCGGTTCCAGCGCCGCCACCGCGAAGTAACACCACTGCTTGGGCAAGCACTTTCCGCCGGAGATGGAGTCGGCGTTATTCAAATTGCACGGTTTGGAGTGGTACGGGCTTCTTGAATAAATGGTGTCACGCATTTTTCATTCGAAATAGCTGAGGTCCAAGAGCGGAAATTATTATTGTGACGACGCCGCAATCGGCCCTGATTTGTCTGTACCACGTACGGTTTTGGGCCTTGGACAACATGGTGCACTTCTCTCGTCGTTGAGTATCAGTGCGCGGTCGCCACATGCCCAGCCGCGCCTCATAATCCTCAGTTATCTAGCCCAGCGGTTCTCAAATGGTGGTCCTCGAAGTCATCCTAGGGTTCCGAGAAGCCCTGCCTCATCAGTCAAGGCCGCTAATGAAGGCTATCTTTTCTCAGAAAGAGAAGAAACGTTCCAATTTTTGGGTGACGTTTTTCGTGTGCATGTCAATGAGAGAATTATACTTTACACAAGCCCATAGTTTTATTCTTTCCTTTAATCATTGCCATAATACCCACCTAGATCTTTTTCTTCCTCTCATCACGAATGGGGTGCTCCGTCATCTCTGCCGATCCACAAGGGGTCCGCAAAACCCCAATGGTTGAAAACCACTGTTCTTTGCGCTTGTCTTCTCTCTTTCCTCTCCACTGTTCATTTCTATTCTTGCGCAATTTTAGCCATGTTGAAAACCACTGTTGTAGCCCATTGCTGACTCGTGTAAGCATCCTCACTTCGGGCATTCATCTGAGCATCGTGATCTGAGTGCAGTCGATTCAACGTTGTCGTGATCTGTCGACTCCTGAGAAACTCTGTCAGATAGCTCCCGGTTGCAGAGCAAACGAAATCCTCGCCAGGCGGAGTGACCAGTCAATGAAGTCAAACGAAGGAGGTCTCCTTCGCACTTTCCATCATACTTCTGGCTTGACCATTGGAACTCGAGTGGTAAGGGACGATACGTATGGGCCAAATTTGATTTCGCGAGGAAAGACTTTTCCCATTCTGCTGAAGTAAAAGATGCACCGCCATTGGATGCGATGACATCTGGCAGGCTGTCAGTTTCAAACAGTGCACGAAGGTAATGTATGGTGCATGACGTTGTCAATAAGAACATCTGTGCGACCTCTACATAGTTTTAAAACCTGTCTACGAAAATGAGGCATATCTTGCTAAGGCCAGCAATGTCGATGTGATTACGAGACTGCGGCTCCCTACAGCGTTCCCAAGGAAACGGCGGACTGTCATTGAAAGCGTGCAGGTACACTTGACAGACGTTGCATTTCCCGGCGGCAAAATCCGCTATTGAAATATCATGTCAAAATCCGCTGTTAGATCTGCAGCGGTTCTCAACACCCTCGAGGGTAGAAGAAAGTCCGCCCTGTGGGACACGCTCCACATCACGGAGCGAAAGACGGACTCGCATTTTCGCAGTGACCCGCCCCGAGCTGGTCTGTCGTTAAAAATGGTAGCTGCTCCAACTTAGCTCGAACTTGACGAGCCGACTGAGCTTTCTGACGACCAATTACTACTGGGCGATTTGACTTTAAATCGTGCAAGAAAAAAGGCCATGTCTCAAAACGTGTGAAAATTATGTTTAGCAAATTTTTCACTAAAGCAAAACTGAAAATCATTTCTGGGTTGTAATTTTAATTTTCAAGATTTTGACTCCTAACGCTCTAAAGGTGGATTTCGGGATTTGGGCGATCGTTACAAGTCGCGTATTTGGGAGCTTCACTGCACTCGAATACTGAAACAAGAAAAACGTTTTACGTATTTTCTTTCCACTACAGTAAAACTGTCGAATGTTCAAAAATCTTTGTTTTTGTTTCTACTTCTTTATGTTAAAAAAAATCAGAACCTTGTCTCTTTGACGATAAGTTACGTGGTTTGTATGATAACTTTTGTTGCGTTAATATTTAGGAGATATACATCAAATGATTTTTCCAACAAATATTTATGAAACAAGTACAATATCGCCGAAGTAAAACATTTTATCTGGGCAAAAATGTATTAGAATGAAATTAGGAACTAAAAGTACAACCTTTAACATTACTTTTCTCAAAAAAACACCATTTTAAAATATATTCTTTTTTGTTTTTCTAGGAGGAATGATCAGTATGGTCTTAACATCCAATAAAATTTAGATGTAACATATAATTCGGACTTACACTTTTTTTATTTAAAAAAAGGCGATATATTTCAAGTACTAATTTCAGATGCGAAGCTGGGTCGTACCATTTGTTCTGAAAGATTTTTAATTATTTGTTAGCCCTGTCTCAGTGTTGATTGGTTTCAATCTACCAAATAACGGAACACCCGCTGACAAAACCCATCCGCTTTCTGGGCCTCTGCAAGATCTTCTTTGCGTACGACTTTAGCCCAAGCTACAATCCGTTGTTCTTCGTAAGGTCTTCTATCACCTCCACAACCTCCTGTTGCTTCATTCCCTACACTCTAAGCCCGGTCCCACTTAGTAAGAGGGATATTTCTTCGATTTTTTCTCACTTAACTTTAAGGGGGGGGCGACAGACCTCTTAATATTACATGGAGATGCTCCCTCTTAATTAAGTGAGACACCACCCCTCTTAAAGTAAGCGAGGCGGCGTCTCCCTTAAATTTGGGGTCAGAGTCCCTTAATTAAGAGGGACAGTTTTTAGATATTTTCTTCCTTAAATTCGGAGGGACGGTGGCCCGCTTAAAATGCAGGGGCATAGTCCCCCTTAAGTCGGGGTCACGCTGCTTATACTTCATACAAAATACATTCTGCAGACATGTTCCGAAACGAGTCGCCTCGACATCCGCGCTTCGTACGCCACGAGGTAACCAATCAAGAGGTTACTTTGTCACGTGGCATACAAAGCACGGATGTCGCGGTGACTCGCATTGGAACATGTCTGCAGAATGTATTTTGTATGATGTATAAGCAGCGTGACCCCGGCTTTAAGTTACCTCTGTTATTGTATCGTACAATTTCTGCTCCTTCGTGTTTTGAGTGTAAGCTGACATGCTGCACTGCACTTCTCGCACTTTTGCTGATATGGTTTAACCAAAGTTATTTTGTGCTGCGTAGCAGAATTGAAATTTGATCTGTATATCTTGTTTGATAAACGGAATCAATGTGTTAAAGAAAACAGTAACAATCTTTAAGAGTAAACACTGTTTTATTTGCCATGACACAAGAAAATATTTTGATATGTCTTCATCAAAATAATAATTCTATAACGATGTTCTGGTAGCTTTTACGAATAAAAAAAGACTTAGAACGACGCCAGAAATCGGCGTTTCTTGGAAGCTATCACACAAAAAATTTCGTGCTGCAGAGTGACTCATTTTGCCTATCATAAACAACAACAATACAATCATGCTGGAAAAAAAAACTTTAGCGGATAACACAAAAAGAAAAAGTACATTCTAAAAAAAAGCCCGTGCGTCTACTTTCCCGCACAACACTTGGAAAGACAATCACCATAACTCTCGGAGGCAGCTCAGCGAATGTAGATGCCGAAACATATGATTATACCAAAAAAAATTAGTTGCGACATTAAGCACAACAAGCGTGATGTTTTGCATTGGTTAATGTCACAACTCGGACTGGTTTTTTTGGTCTAATCTTATGTTTCGGCATCGTGATTCGCTGAGCTGCTTCCGTGAGTTACGGTGATTGACTTTCCAAGTGCTGGCTCGGGAAAGTAGATTCCTGTGCTTATTTTTAGAGCGTAGTTACCTACTTCATAGCATTAAAAACTAATTATTCGGCGTCTCTTGCCATCAGCAGAAGCTCAGAATTTCTGTTGTTTTTGAACGGCCGTAAGCGAGGGGGTTTGGTCCAAGGGTTTGGTCCAAGGGTTTGTCCACATGCCACAGGGTAGGAGAGTCCCCTTATGTAATACACCCATAAGCACATGACTAGTGCCCCCTCCATAGTCGTGCTAGCGGATAGTTTCACTGACCCGTTCCCAGAAACGATCCGTTTCTCCGAACCGAAGAAAGTCTTGGGTCCTGGAACTTTTTCGTCAGGGGTAAAATCGTCCTGCAAGCAGCAATTCTTAAAAAAAAAAAAAAAAAAATTGCGTCAGCGTCAAACTTAGATTTCTATTTTTGCATTCGCTTTTTCACATACCATAGGTGATGAAAGAACTTCTGGCCAATCGAGACCGGAGGATGGTCGTAATGTTCAAGAATGTTGTTGGGTTGTCTCCGCAGAAGGCCCCTTTTACCTCCTCCAGGTTTCCCAGCATGTTGACGATCGTGTTATGGAACCGAAGTTGTGCATCCACCTTTAGCTGAATGAAAGACCATATTGTTTTCCTTTAGATACAGAGGGTGAGAATTAGAATAAAGGTAATGAAGCGCTTTCACCTGTTATCAAGCAGGCGATAGGAAACAAATGCGAAAATAAAGTGCAAACA